TCTGGAGGAACAATCTCAAGGAATATTATGGGAAAAAAAGAGAGAGAAAAGCCTTAGCAGTATCAGATCTTGAATTATGCTACAAAGCAATATTAATCAAATATTGGATGGTATTAGAGAAACAGAAAAGTTTATCAGTGGAACAGATTTGGTAAAGAAGACCCAGAAACATTAGGATATAATACCATAGTGCTTGATTAAATTCAAGGATTTTGTTTATTGGAGTAAGGACTCACTATTTTAGAAAAACTCAAAGATCTTATCATAAACCAGGTGGGGAAACAGGAAGGAGATTGCTCTCAGAACTATGGATAAAGGAAGATTTCTTGACCTAATTCAAATAGATTACATCACAGGAAAAAAATGCACAATTTTGATTATATAAAATTGAAGTTTTGCACAAGTAGTTGATGAAATCAGAATTAGAAGGGAGATGTATAATTGGCAAAAAAAAATTCAGCCAATTTCTCTGATAAAAGTTTAATATGCCAAAATGTATGGGCAAATAATACAAATATGTCAGAATAAGAGCAATTCCTCAGTAGATAAATGATCAGTGAATATAAATAAGCAGTTTTCAAAAGAAGAAAGGCAAGCTATGAACAACGGTGTGGAAAAATGATTGAAATTGCTATGAATTAGAAACATGAGAGTTGAAAGAGCTCTGAGATCCTACATCACATTTAACAGATTGTTGAAAATGACAGTGGGGCTGTTAGAGGACAGAATACTAATGCATTGTTGGTGGAGCAGTGAATTGGTCCAGCCATTTTGGAAAGCAGTTTGGAGCTCTCCTTAAGTCACTAGAGGCAGCTAGGTGGCACAGTGGATAGAGTGTCGGGCCTGGAGTCAAGAAGATGCATCTTCCTGAGTTCAAATCGGGCCTTAGGTACTTACTAGCTATTTGACATGGGCAAGTCACTGAACCCTGTTTTCCTCAGTTTCCTCATCTGTAAAATGGGCTTAAGAAGGAAATGGCAAATCACTCCAAGGTCTTTGCCCAAGAAAACCCCAAATAGGATCATGAAGAGTCGGACATCACTAAAAAACAACTGAATGACAACAAGAAGCCAGTAGATTATGCATTCATTTTGACTCAGGGATACCACTATGAGGCATATGCTTCCAAAGAAATCAAAGAAAAACAGAAAGGACTCCTACATATATAAAGGTATTTATAGCTGTATTTTTTTTTGTTATTTCAAAGAAATACAAAGGGTGTGCCTATTCTATGAGAAATTACTGAATAAATTATGGTGCATGAGTTTAATGGAGTATTATTGCATCAATAAGACAATAAAAAAAGGAATGGATTTAGAGGAAACCTGGGAAGACTTATTTATGCAAACTGATATACAATGCAGTGAGCAAATCTAGAAGTATTTTAATACAATAGTTGTAATGTTATCAAGAAAACAGCTTTGCACTTTGATCATTATGTTATTACTATATCATAACTCTAGAAGAGTAATGATGAAACATTCTTCAGGTGATGACAGCCTATAGGTCCAAAATGAGACATACATTTTTTAGACACGACGAATGCAACATGAGTTTGTTTCTTCTTGAATATACCTGCTCATTACAAGAACAGGTTTTTGCTGTTTTTTTTTACCAAAAGTGGAAGAAAAGAAAAAGCTGCCAGTGAAATATTTTTAAAATATATTGAAGAGAGCAGAAGGAATTTCACAAGGCGAAACAGATAAGCAAGGGTGGTGTTGGTACTACTGTGTTAAATTTAATATATACTTTAAAAAGCTGTGTACAGTACAGATTCATGTTTTCATTTACAGTTTGCTTTTTCTGTTTTTTGTATGTGGACATTCATTTTTTATATTTAAGTTAAAATAAAGTATTATTTTATAAAGACCTTCTAGACAAATGATCAAATGTTATGGAAGGGCAACAGCAGGTAGACCAGTTTAGCTGGAACAGATATGTGAGGGCCAGTAATGTGAAAATTAATCAAGGCAAGTAAATTGGAGCCAGATAACAAAAAGCATTATGTGCCAAATAGTGGAGTTTGCATTTTATCCTAGAAGGCTACTAATGTGTCTAGAGCTGGGCAGTAAGTAACATGTTTATAGTTATGCCTTAGGAATATCAGTATGGTGGCTATGTGGATGATAGATTATAGATAGGAAGGCCAGAAGCAAGGATTCCAATTTGGTGGGGTTTTTTTGTTTGTTTTTAATCCTGCAAATTAGAGGTACAATTTGCAGTATTCTGAGAGAACAGGGATGAAAGTCTAAACTCAGGTAGTGACAGTGTGACTGGAGCAAAGGGACAAATGCAGAAGATGTTGTAGATTTAGGATTGACGAGAGCAGCCTTTTGGATAGAGAGTGAAATGAGGGAGTAAAAAGAGCTGAATATGATTCTGAGATGGCAAACCTGAAAGGATAGCATTGCCCTTGATAGAAATAGGGTAGTTTGGAAGAAGGTTGGGTTTCAGAGGGAAAGATAATGAGAAGACACCATAACAACATATAAAAGATTACACTAACACTAGGTTGAATTTATTCTAGAAATGCAAGGTCATTCAATATTAAGACAACTATCCATATGATAAACTATATTCAAAAAGCAACAAAAATGATGTGATTATACCAATAAATGCAGAAAAAAGCTTTTGAGAAGGTACTGTACTTGTGCCTATTTAAAAAAAGAAACATACTAGGAAATATAGGAATAAGTGAACTTTTCCTTGATATGATTAGTATCTACTAATTTAATTTCTATACTAGGGAGAGTCAAAACAGAGGGAAAAAAAACTATGGACTAATTTCCCTAGTGAGACTTGACATGGAAGTTTTACATGTATTATTAGAAAGGTGAGAGATAATGAGACTTGTTTTCACATCTGAGTTTAAGATATCTATGGAGACTTTCACTTCCCCCATTTTAGACCCCTTGTCCAGCTCTGATCAGGGGTTGGAAATCTCATCCTAGTTGGATGCTAACTTTCCCTTATCTTCATCTGTGCAGTAATTAACCCCAGAATTCTATTCCACTCTTACTTATCCTTGGACCCACTACCCCCTTTCCCATCAGTTGTTGGTCAGGACTTGGTGGTTTATCTTGCTTAGATGAGCAGGAGTCACTGTCTCTGGTCCTTGTATAAAGATGTTGGACCAAGGAGGCCTGTCTCTATACCCTCTAGGCATCATCATTGTACCCTCAGGACTCCTGGGCTTTGTTATTGCTTCTTAAGGAAGACTATTCATCTATCCTGTTAAAAACCCTGCTATCTATGCTGTCTCCCCTAATTTTAATGTAAACTCCTTGAGAGGATGTTTTCCCTTGCTTTTCTGGTTGTATCCACAGCCCTTATCTTAATTCTTGGTGCATAGAAAGTGCTTAGTAAATGCTTTTCTATTCTATTCCATTTCATGCAGATGGAGATGTCCACCCTTCTAGAGCTAGAGCTAAGGAGAATGATTTGGACTAAATATATAGATCTGGGATTCATCTTCATAGAGGATAGTTTCATCCATTTGAACCTAATAAGATAATTGATATTAAATGCAGAGTGACAAAAGAAGAGGGGCCCAGACAAAACTTTGAAGTATATAACAAACATAGACAGCGAGAGCCTGTTATTTTTGTGTTTATGATTTCATGTACTGAGTCAACATTCTTTCCATGTAAACAAATTTCTAAACTAAGTATAAAAGTAAATAGAAATATTGGGTTCAACATGTGGAGTTTTGGTCTAATCAAAAATCACTCCTTTTCTCCTGGCTCTATAACCTGCCCTCCTCTTTCTTTCCAGTCTTGTTACAACTTCCACCCTGCTATGTACCTTGTAGTCCAGTGACACTGGCCTGGTTGCTGTTCCTTGAACAAGGTATCCCTTCTCCCAACTCCAGACATTTTTACTAGCTGTCTCCCATATTTGGAATGCTCTCTCTCCTCATCTCCACCTCTTGGCTTCCCTGGCTTTCCTCAAGTTCCACCTAAAATTCCAACTTCTACAGGAAGCTTTTCCTGATCCTCTTTAATTTTAGTGCCCTCCCTCTGCGGGTTATTTTAGATTTATCCTATACATAGTTGTTTACATGTTGTTTCTCTGATTGTATTGGATGCTCCTTGAGAAAAGGAACTGTCTTTTTTCCTTTATTTGTGTCTGCAATGCTTAGCACAGGGCCTGGCACATAGTAGGTGTTTAATAAATGTTTATTGACTGATTAACTTCCTGAATGCTTACTAATATACATAGAGTTTAGTTTACTCCATGGAGTTGTTTTTTTCCCCCCCTAATTAAAAGAGGAGATTTAATATGCAAGTGCTACATACAACCACATACACAAAAAGTCAGTCTAGAATATCCAGGGAGTATATGGTGCATAACTAAGTGAATTGTTTTTAAGATAGAGAGACCTTGAATTAAAAGACAGAATGTACTGTGTTGGAGAACTCAAATAGTAGGAATAGTCATATATTAGATAGTAGATAAAAGAGTTCTAGAACAGGTGGGTGAAGTGGTATAGTCTTAGGGAGCTCATGTCTAAGGGTGTTAGCCAGGTGTGGAATTCTACATCTCTGCTTCTGTGGTCTCTGGTCAGTGCAGTCAGACTGCTTGGACCTGTGCTGCCTCCTTTTCCTCTTGCATTTCAATCTATGTATTCACTTCTGCCTGACCCTCATGGCAGACAGTGCTGAAGTTAGGAGCACTTGATAGAATTTCATGAGCTACCCTCTTTACTGCCTTTCCCGTCTTCTCCCTTCCTTCTTGTTACTCTATCCCCTATGCATCCAGACTTATTTTTATTCACTTAATCATAATAATTAGTACCTGATATGGGCTTATAAGTAGAGAGAATTTTTGCCTTGGTAAATTTGTAAAATATGAAAGTTTTTGAAGCATCCATATTTTGTCACATCTTTATAGTTTGATGTTTCTTAATCATCTACTGAAGATTATCGTAGCAGCAAGAAGGGGAGAAAGGAAGTAAACCCAAAATTGTGATGTATTTCTTTCTTTTTTGGTTTGCCTAGTGCGGTTGGAACATTTGCTCGAGCCCTGGATTGCAGTAGTTCGGTCAGACAGCCCAGTTTACACATGAGTGCTGCTGCTGCTTCCCGAGACATCACTCTGGTAAGCTCCTTTTTTGAAGACTGTTCCAGTGTTTCTTTCTTTAGTTCATTTTTTTTTTATCTTATAAAAGTGTCCGCCAAATGAAAGGCCATTGATGTTGACGTATTATATTGAAAAAGTTATATAGTGTGTTAATTGAATGTGTAATGGTTTCTTTGGATGCATCAGTGAACCAGATAGTTTGTTGTTTTTCTGATGTGATTTCTTCCCAGTTTTTCTAATTGTTGCAAAAATAAAGCATTTGTTATTCAAATGCAAAATACACATTAGCATAGCTTACTTAAAAGCAGCGAAATGTGACTATAGTTTGAATTAGTTAATTCAGTCATACTTATTAATAAGAAAATGATAAATTAATGTACTTGTAGTTAATGGTCACACTAATGTTGAAAGATTACTTTTCTAGTTACTTTTAAAAAAAATTGTAGAGAATTGTAACAGTTTTGAACAATCCCAATATTTGCATATACCAAATGAGGAAGTACTCCCAATTAAATGAATGTTCTTGAATTATAGAAGTATGGCCCTACTTTCCTAAAATATGAAAATAATCACATTGCTGATTTGTCTACATCTACATTCCCAATTGTAATGATACAAAGGTAACTATGAATGACATCATTTGTACCTCTGGTGAAATGAACCTGCAAACTAAATGCATTTTGACCCCAGTTGTTAGGATGCATGGAAGAAAATACATGCACATTAGATAGACATTGTATAACATAAAGAAAACCTTATTAAAAATATTCTCCTTTTTTGTTGATAAAAAAATTTGGATACAACTACTTAAAATTGATAAATGGCTATAATAATAATGTTGAATCATTGTACTCTTTAATACCAATAACTGTGTCAGGTGTTTTACGTAGTAGTCATTGTGGTCTTACCTGATATAAGGCAACCAGTATTACCTTCTGGGTCTGATTGTTATTCTGTAAATACAATATACTCACTTCTTAACACTTTTAGAAAAATCCTTACATGGGCAATTAAGGATCCATGGCCCTCTAAGATTCTTGGCACTCAGCGGCTTTTATATTTTTTTCTGTCTTTAAGGTAGCTTTGCTTCTTAATGCATTTCAGGACCATTTACCAAGAATTTCTATGAAATTCGCTCAGATTAACTGTGGATTTAACCCAAGGCTCTGTCAAGGTTCTTGACCTTCTTCTCTGCTGTCTTTATACTCTTTTGCTTGATGACCTCATGCCTCTCCAGATGACCAGCCCTGGTCTCTTCTGAGCTTCTGTTTCCTAATCACTAACTGCTTGCAACCCAGGATTTGTCCTGTATTCATCACTATCTCTCACACTTCCCACCCCCCACCCCCTTATACAAACTGTTGCCAGGGCCTATCAACGTGGCCTTTGCAACATCTCTTTCCTTCCTCTGACACTGCCACCACTCTGGTGCAGACCCTCATCACTTAACACCTTGATTATTGTAATAAGCTACTGATGGCTCTGTTTGCCTCAAGTTTCTCCCCACTACAATCTGTTTTCCATTGAGCCACCAAAGAGGTGTTCCTAGTATGTCACTCCCCCACCCTGCCCCAACTTAGTAAACTCCAGTGGCTTCCTGTTGCCTCTAGAAGCAAATACAAAGTGCTCTGCTTGGCATTCAAAGCCCTTTATAACTTAACCCCCTCCTACCTTTCCAGTCTTTTTACGCCTCATTCCTCAATTCATACTCTTCAATCCAGTAACATTTTTGGTCTCCTGGCTGTTCCATGATCAAGATTCTCCGTCTCTTAGCTCTCTGGCTGTCCTCATTCCTCTAATACTCTGTCCCTCCTCTGTTCCTCCCTGGTTCCCTTTAAGTCTCAAATAAAGTCCCACCTACAGGAAACCTTCCCCAACCCCTCTTAATTCTAGTGCCTTCACTTCTTAATTATTTACTGTTTTATCCTGTATGTATTTGTTTGTACATGTTTGTTTCCATGTTGTCTGTCCCATTAGATTGTAAGCTCCTTGAGGGCAGAGACTGTATTTTACCTCTTTTTGTGTCCCTGGCACTTAACAGAGTGCTGATATACAGTGTCTGAGAAAAAAAAAAAGTAAATTGTGACAGTCCAAGTAAGGAATTGTTTTGTTGTGGGTCTGCTAGTAGAAAGATGGCAATTGCTTGATTTATTTTTGTGTGTATCTTTACACTTAAACACATATATGAAATAACTGAAATATATGGTGTATTTTCATTCATTCACATTGGCATTAAATAAAGTGATATATTTCATTTCTTTCATATGTGTCAATTTGAAATGCTTTTTACTGGGTATAACTTCTCTTGGATGTGAGAACTGATACTGTAAGGTAAATTTCACAGTGTGAAATTTCCTAGAAGTTAAGCCTCTAAAGTGACTTGATTTTCCACTATTATGTATTTTTAATCTGAGAATCTATTAATAAATTTGAACAAGTATTTAAAAATGAAAGTTGAGGTCATTAAGAACCATTTATGCTATTTTATTAAGTGTATGGATATTTTAATAATAAGCAAATCTTAATTTTTTGGGGAAAGAATCTGAACTTTGATAAATGTTTATATATCTGTAGTTCAAAGGATTCTAGTTTGAGTATTTCAGAGATCCTGTTACAAATATAAATAGTTTTCGCTTTATGTAAATTCACATTATACAAATTCAGCTTTACATAAAAAATTTTGAAATCCACATTCCAAAAACACACCTGTGTTAACTTTACTGTAGAGTATTGCGCTCGCTCACGCGCGCTCTCTCTCTCTCTCTCTCTCTCTCTCTCTCTCTCTCTCTCTCTCTCTCTCTCTCTCTCTCTCTCTCTCTCACTTTCTCACTTTCTCACTTTCTCTCTCTCTCTCTCCCCCTCTCCCCCTCTCCCCCCCTTCTCCCCCTCCCCTCTCCTGCCCTTTGGCTCAGTGCTCCACAGCCTCCCCCCCAAAAAAAACTCTTCAAAGTGAAAGCAGAAGAACTGACACATGGAGTGACCACAGCCACTGCTGCCACCTCAGGATGGGGCTTGTCTTGAGACCTCCAGTGCTGAGAGAGGAGACCTTTGTCCTGCTCTTTCCACCTGCCCATGTGTCTGACCCTCATATGTCTGTCTTTCATCTCTTTGTGTTTGATAAGATGTCTGTCCCCAGCCCTGACAGACTGCATTGTCCTCTCCTGTCTATATCTGTGGCCCCCATGTGACTGCCCTGCCCCAATGTTCTTTCTCTGTGGCCAGGCCACCATGTGGCTGGCCTCCACCCCCGTTTGTGCCTCCTTCTGCTCTCACTTGTCTGTCCCTGGCACCCATGTCTCCTTAAACCGAATGCTGGCCCCTCCCTCCACAGGCACTTGGCCTCCTTCCTGCCTCCCTTCCTACCTACCTCCCTTCCTACCTACCTCCCTTCCACACATCTGCAGGCAAATTCACATTATGTAAGGAATGGTCCAATTACATAAAGTGAGAACTGTCTATATCAAAAGAGAAATAGCGTGTCTAGACCTTCAGATTTGACATAGATATCCATCTATATTGTATAAGTTGAAAGTAGTTGTGATAGACATCATAGAATGTCAGTCAGCCTTTCTTTAGTCCTTTTCTTGGCTTAAATAAGAAACAAAACAAAGTTCTTTATGAGCTACTCCCCATATGAAGAAATTTAATCCTTTTCACTGTAGCACTGATAGTTCAAGTGAATGTGTCTTTTGGTAAGTCACTGATTTATGAACACGTTGGGTTTTAAAAATTCATCAGTTTGTAACTTAAAATTCATTTCCTCATAGAAACATTTTTTTTCCAGTATAGTTAAGCTCCCTGTCAAGCCACCAAGTCTATCATCTTATACTACTTTGCTACCAATAAAGAGCACTTAGCATAGTGCCTGGCACATGGTAGCACTATGTAAATGCTCATTCCCTTACCTCTTCCCTTAATAACTTTATATTTAGGGAGCAATTACTTCTGCTTCTTCTGGGGTGAGAAAGGGAGAAATTTTCCATTTACCATAGTTTTTGCAAAAAGAACCACTTTTTCTTCTCTCTCACCCCCAATTAGAGAAGACTGTATGATATATATAAGGTATGAGATTTTAGGGCCAGCAGAGCTGTAATTCTGAGGATGCCTAAGAGAGCAGTGCATTGGCATGAGGAGAAGAAGGTCAGTGGGCTTCTGGAGGGAAGTTAGTTCTGCCGTTGGAGGCATCTGTACCTCATTAGGACTTCATTGAAGAGGTTGAGGGAGTAGTGGAGTGAGCAGCAGTGACCATTTAAAGTCATGGGCCTTTGTTATAATAACAGAGATTTCAGTAGGGCTTTAGTTAAATTTGTTCATACATCTTTTTTCATAGAGTTTATTACACTTCTCAGCACTGCTTTCTTCTCACAGAACTGTGCCTATTGGAATGTTGCTTTCACAATTTCTTCTCTTGTTGTCAATAGGGTTTCCCACTTTCTAATGTTTTTCCTCCATTGTTTGTTTCTAATTTGTGATGGCCACATACTCTTTTTGTTTTTCATTCTCTGAGGAATGATTCCTAGCTGCAAATGCCATACTGCTTTCCCCCTTTATATTAAATAGGATTGAAAAGAATCTACTCTTTTTACTTGTTAGTAAAATGCTAATATTTTGTTTTCTGCCTTAAGCCTGTTTTTTTCCCCTTCTGTGTTTCTACTCAACACTTTCTAGATCATTTTGAGAAGAAATCAATCATGCTGTATGGTTTAGTACAAGAAAAGTGTTCTTGGATGCATATCCACAGTGAGCATCATTTGTCTTGGTGTCTGTGGAGCTCTGGATCACTCACACAATGCTTTCTGCTTTACTGAAACCTGCCAAGTATCATGAAAAACTCTGATAGGCACCCAGAATCTCTTTATACACAGGAGTGGATTCATTAATTAATGTAATTATTGAAGGTGCCTAAGTGGGATATATAAAATGCTGTGCCACTGAGTGAAAATGGATTCTATATCCAACTGAATTTCTATTGTCCCATTCTTCCTGTTGCCATTTGACTTGATCAATGTATGTAGCTA